TACTGTGGTAGAATTAATTCTACCACATGGTAGAATGCCGTAATGCCGTAATTCAGTAATTCTACCGCCAACTATAGTCGTAACCAGCTGTAACAATTATGTTAAAAAAAAAAGTAATCACTAATTTTTGATTATTGATTCCCGATTTCTTCAACATTTTTTTTAACTTTTAAATTAGACAAAATTTGTGCATCTATTATTTTGTAAATTTTATAGAAACAAAAGGTTGCATATTTGCAGAAATAGAAGTTGCACATTAAAATATTCTTACAAATGATAAATGCGCAAGTTTTTTCTCTAGTAGTAATTACTTTTTTTTTAATGATCAAATTTCACATAATTTTAAGACTGCTATAATTGATTAGCTTCATTGTTAAACATTCTTTATAATGAACTGCGATATGATTAAATCAAAAATTTAAAAAAGTGACATGTTTTTAAAAAATTATAATTTCTATAACAATCCCTTTTTATTATTCAGTTCATTATAGAAAGAGTTGACTTTATATGAATGTCATCAAGGAAAAGAGCATCTCAACAATTTACATATATTACTGATTATTAATTCAGTATAAATCACATATAATTTAAAGTTTGATTTGCATCGTTTCTCTTTTTTCTTGGTGGCATTCATATAAATTACTTTTGATAAAAATTTATTTCACAAATTCGAATTCTATTTTTAACCAATTATAAGTAATATATTTCAAAGAATTCATTCGCAGATTTGTTTCAAGCCAACTTATATTAGTAAAAAATCTTGTCATGCATGCATATGTACTTATAATACTGAATATTTAATTGTGGAGTTAGTTAATTGATTAATTGATGATGCAACCATAATTAATTAATTGTTATTTTTGTTGGAATTTGTAAAACATACAAAAGTATATTTTACTGAACTTGGTGTCAGAAACTTGTAATTTAACTTTATACATAATTGAATAAAACAATTAAAACTATCAAATAATTTCTTTTAGCAACTTGTACAATTTGGTTTTTTTTTGAAGACAAATACATCAAATAGCACTTAAATATCTTTTTTAAATAAGTTACAATAAGCACAAAAGTTTCAAACAAGTGTTACATAGAGGTTTTTTTAACTTAAAGATAATAATAAGTGTCTTTGTAATTTGTGTCTTTTTGGTTCACAGCTGATAACCTCAAAAAGAATCAAATATATGAATTTAATAAATTATTTAAAATAAGACATAGATATTTTAAGTTGCTTTACTAATAACAAATCAAAATAATATTTTTATAGTAAATTCTGTTGCATTTATCTATAGCACAAGTATGCTTAATATTTTTAATTAAGTTAACTTTATTCTATTTTTCATTGTTTTTTTTTAGAAAAATGTTCAATGTTTCATATAAGATTATTTTTTATTATTATTCTTACAATAATTTATTTACAATACTGCTTTCAAAATATTATTATCATTACTAATAATTTGTTATTAAGAAAGTATAGAGAAACTTACCATATAATAAACAGATACAAAGAACTATTTAAAGACTTAACTGAGTCATCAAAAATTGAATCAAATATGGTCTTAAAAAATTGTGAAGTAACTATGGTGTGATATGTATGCAATTTTTTTTTGTATCACAAATGTGTATGATATAAAATGTAACATTATTTGTATTAGCTTTAGTGTACAAGTTGTTTACTTTATTTGCAAGCAAACATGAATACAAAATGAAGTTTTACCATCATATTCAAGCTTAAAGTAATCTTGTATGCAGAAGAAACCTCTAATTGTAAAGTTTTTCTGTTTTACAAGGTTCACTGAAGGTGTATTCAAAAGTAGTGCAAGCAGAAAAAGAAGTTTAAAAAAATTAGAAATAATAAAGATTTAAATATAGAACAAGTGTAGGTTTTTGAAAATCATAGTAAGAAAGCAGCATATCCTATATTAAAAAAAAACTGTTAGAATTTATTAAAAAAAAAAAAGAAGAAAAAAGCACAATAACAACTTCAATAATTATAAAAAAAGCCAAATGTTTAAGTAAAACTATGGATATTAAATATATGAAGTTTTTATATAGTTGGGTTAAATGTTTCAAGCAATAGCATAAATTAGTAAAATGTACTTGAATACAAATAGCATAGAAGGTTCCTGAGGATAAACCATTAATTGTTCAAAATTTTTTAAAAATTTTGTATAAAAAAACATGTACAATTAAAAAAAAAAAATTATATCTTTTAATAAAACCTCTATGTAGTTTGACATGTCATAAGATTCAACAATCAATTTCAAAGATATTTGTAAGATGCTAATTAAAACTATGGGTAATAAAAACTATGATTTACAGTAGTTTTAGGATATACAGCAGCTAAAAAGAAAATCTCACTAGCAGTAATCTTTAAATTAAAAAAAAATCAAAAGGCAGATTTCTGTGAGATGTTGTAGTAGTAGTGATGCTCTCTGCAAATATGACTGAAGAATTAATAATTTCTATATACATTCTGTAAGTTATCAGAGCTAGGCCTAATAGATTTTTAAAAGCAAAGGCATTATTTTTGTTGATACACACTGTAGGCATAATTGTAATTATATAATTAAAGTATTGAATTCAGAAGGCTTAGATGTATTAAAAATCCTTAGTAAAACTATCAGTGTTTTGCAGTCATTAGATGTTTTTGTAAATAAACTATTTAAAAATAGAATGTAAAAAAAGTGGAAAGAATGGATAGATAAAGGAAAAAAAAGTTATACTAAAAAAGAGAACTAAAAAAAAGTGTTGTATGAATATGTTTGTGAATAAGTATCTAAAATATAAAAGAAAATCAGCCCAAATATATTAGTCAAATCTTTCAAAGCAACTAAACTAACACTTAACTTCAATAGCAGTGAAAATGATAAAATGTTACATTACCTCCAAACTATTATTAAAAATTACCTAAATGAATTATCTATCAAAAACACACATTCAGAAGAGCCAAATTATAATAATAGTAGATCAAATGATAATAAATTAGATAATAGTGAGCTAGATGTTGATGAATTGGACAATGGTGAACCAGATAGTGATGAATTGTATAGTGATAAGTTGGACAATAGTGAGCTAGATAATGAATTGAATAATTATAAACTGAATAATAAAATTAATGATAAACTAAAAAACTTCAAGCCAGATTATTATAATAAAAATATTATTGATATAGATAACTGTGAAGAAATGCAAAATAATAAAGTAATAGAAATTAATTAATGATAGTAATTAATAATAAACAAATGAATGAATCTTTATAGTAAAATTTATACTTATATTTATTCTTTGTTTAAATATTTTAAAAATAATTTCAATAATTTTTTTTGATGATATATAATAATATTAGTCACTTTTCTAAATTTTAGCAACTCTAAATAATTTGTTGAGGTAAGCCAATTAATTTTTTTTTGTGATTAACTTTTTAACTAATAGAGTAATTACTTTATTTATAATAAAAATTAGATATTTTTATAATAGCCTATTATCTTAAATTCAGTTATTATATATAATATATTACAAAATAATAAGATTACTTAGAATATAAAGTATATTAGATTATAGAATAACTTAGTATTAATATGCTATAATAATAATATAAACAATTATTTCACTATGGTGATTGTGATCCTATAAGCTATAATATACTGCTGGTTGAAAATTGATTAAAACTTAAGATAAATTTTTTTTTTAATTATAAAATTCTTATAATAAATTTAATTAACAATACTATAATTACTTAATTTTTTTTTTATTAAGGTGACCTCTTTGGTTTTTTGACTTTTATTAATTACTTATTGATATTGTAGTTCAATGAACCATTACAGAAAAGTGTACAATTGGCTACACATATAACTTTTCTATATTACCTATTTAAGAAGTCTGCCTGAAAGTTCTCTACCAATTGCTATACCTAACACCCCTGCTTGAGTGTTCTATTTTAAACCCTCTGAACCTGTAATCTGTGTTAACATCACTAGATCATACCTAAATGCCTAGATCATTATCTTAATCTTAGGACTAATTTATCCTCAAAATAAACCCTCTAGAGCCTTCTGTACCTATTTTTATAGCTGTTCTAGGTATTGCTATGACAGAACTAACACTTGTAGTCAGGGCTAACCATTAAATCACTATGCTCTTGTAGAGTTTACTTAGATTTCAGCATCTACTTCACAGCATAATCCCAGTACTTTAGTATACTTCTGTCTTTTTTACTGCCTTTTTACCAAACTCCCAATTCAGATAGCTCATGTAGAACTATGACCAGTCTATTGATATATTGGATCAGCCTAATATCTTTTTCCTCTAGTTCATTTTGGCAGCCTGGTTGGTAGTACTCTCTAAAACTCCTAACCCAGAGGTTTTTGCTTGTTTGACTACTATAACTGGGTACTACAATCTTAGTATTTGTTTTCTCAGGCTAGTCTTTACAGTAAGACTGTTAAAGATCCAGCTATTTTTCTACTTGGGTCTTCTCAAATAGACTTTTTGTTACTCAATTTCAAAGATTTATATGATCACAAAGACTTATCTAGTGTTTGTACTGTCTGATTTGTCAGTTTGCATTCCTTTATATAATACCATATTTACACAGATGCCCCATAATCTGACAGTTATGCTGGTATAATTACTATTACAGGTATTCTAATCTAATTATTAGTAACAGTTACTATAATACAAATATTATATAGATAATTATTCAAATTTTCATCATCGATAGGATTTGAACACCCAATCTACCACTTAGAGGGTTGACAACCTGACCACTTTACTAGGTCACTACACTCTAAGTAATCACTTAATTTTTACTGATTAGTATGAACTAAATGTTTTAAAAAGTATAATCTTTATTTGTTAATATATTGTAATTACTATTATATCAATAATATTGCAATTTAAAATCTGATATATTTCTTTTTTAGTAGTATTGAATATGTTATTTAAATTTTTTAAATATGAAATTTTTATATTAATTACCTAAAGCCATTTATAAATAATTTTATAATAGTAATTTAACAACAACTTTTAGTAATCTGTAAATTTCAGATATTGCAATATATTATAATTAGCTTACTAAGTATAATGCAATATTAGTAGGTCTTTAGGTTATTGATATATAAAAATTTATAGATATTATAAGAAAATATAAAAACTACTTGCAAACTTTGGTAATTTAATTTGAGCAATGCTATGTAGAAACAGGCATATTATTATTTCTAAATTTAATATTCTAATAAATATAACTTTAATTTATTTACTTTGGAGTTTTTGAATTAATTTAGTAGTAAAATATTTCAGAGTTGAAAATAATGAAAATAAAATATTTGGAATATGAACATCATGAAATTGAAGTCAAATCAGACATTGATTAATTTTTTAAAATAAAAGTATTAGTGAAATTAAAGTTAAAAAAAATAAAAATATACAGTAAAGTATCTATTATTTAAATTTGTAAATAAATACTAATAAAATAATAATATTATTAATTTTCTAGTACTAATAATTCAATTTGTACAAAATTAGCAAAATTTTAACTTGATTTTTAAGTTTAATTTTTTCTTCTTTTCTTGTTCTATTTTTTTTTTTTTTTTTTTTTTTTAAAAGTGAGGTCTTGCCTCGATTTCTTTATTGATTATTAATATCTAAATACAT